ACTGGAAAATTCCTGCCTAAGTGCTTTTTATTAAGTAAAACCCACCCAAGGCCCTTGTTTTCTACATGGATCTGCTCCTCTCCATGCCCGAACTTCTCATTTCCTGATGAAAACACAACCAACCACCCCTTTTCCCACCCCCCAAAAAAAAAAACCAACCCCAAATCAAACCAAACAAAAACTGGCAAAAAGTTTCAGCCATTCAGGGTGATATAACGTATAAACACTTTCTGCAGGTGAAATTCTTCTCCGGATAACTCCCTTTTCAACGTACGTTCACAGTAACGCACAAAACGCCTGCATTCACGTACTGCAAGTCTCGCAGTGCATTCCTATGAAGCGTCATGTGTTCTCTATTTAGGTCTGTAAACAGGTGTGCAGCCTCCTTTCCCTTCGGGTAAAATTCCCATGTCCCATATTCCCACTTTGCTGTTTCTCTTTCCAGCTGACATTCCTTTGAAGTTGGGGGGTGGGGCGGAGTTCAATCCACCAGTTAGATGAACATCTCAGAGAACTCAGGATGTCTCGGGAGATTCCCAGGTCATAAAAAGATGTATAACAACTCTCTGTTGGCCTTTTTTTATTATTATTTATTTGAATTGAAGCTTTGCGTTTCGTCTGCTGTATTTTGGATACTTCAAAAATCAACAGTCAAAACAAATTGTAGATGAAAGACAGCAACGGAGAGGAGAAGGAAAAGAGAGCAAGAAAAAGAGTTAATATAAAAACAGAGAAATACCCAACTCACTGTCTTTCCTACTCTCACATAAATAATGGACAGCCAGTAAATAAATAAGTTGCAGAGCTCAGCCAAGCTCAGGAGACTGGTGGACATGATCCTGCAAGCTTATTAGAACACAGAAACACAGCTGGAAGGAGACACGGGAGGTCACTGAGTCTAGTCTGCTGCTGTCTCCAGCAGTGCCTCACTCAAGACCCCCACTGGGACCAATTTTTCTCAGCTAGGAAGATACGGAAATACCCCACCACAGTCAGCCCCTGTGATTTGGGACCTGCACCACTGGGCGTAAGAGCAGAATTTGTTCCCCTTGCTATACCGTTGAATTACATCCATTTTAAGGCATTCTCAATTGCACACCACAAAATCTCTCTTCTAGCACCACCAGCAATTTCTAGGTTTTTCAGCACCCGCTTTCCTTGAGGACAACGCGGGGGCCTACAGGACTCCTGCCAGTGTTCACGAAGGTCATACTGACATTCCCAAGAGACAATACGTCCCCGCTGCAACAGTTTCCACATCTCCACGTAGTTATTGGCAGAAGAGTCCTTAAAAGATCTCTGCAAATGTAATTTTACCAGCAAGGTGCTAGTTGCTGTGCCCTCAAAGTTCCTTACAGCTGCCCAGCATCTGGGTGGGATGCATCCCACTTAACTGTTGATGTCTACCATATGCAGACATTGTCATTCGAATCTGTCTCTCCAGGCTTACAGATGGTGGAGAAGGACAGGTGCTATACAGCATAAGTTAGGTTCTTTAAGTTTTGCTTCCACTTAAAGCTGAAACAAATCCTTGCCTGGTGATTCACTGACTCCTCTACAGGCTTTCTTCTCTCCCTCTAAAGGGAGCCTGGATGATACAGAAGAAAGCATATGCTTCCAAGCTGCTGACTTAGGTGAGACCAATCCAAACCTTGCTGTTGGGTGTAATTTAAATTTTGTTTTTATGTTTAAACATCCAGCAGTTGCTTTCCCTTCTGCCACACACTCCTAATGAGAATTCAGGAGATTTCTCTGCCACACCTGAACCTGAGAGCCACCTTCTGCTCTCCAGCACCATTGTTAACAACCCATCCTATTCCAGTTTTCTTCATTAATGCTTCTGCCTTTATGTCCTGCTGTTATTTAAAGCTTTAGGCAAGCTTGCTAATAGTGATTCAATATCAAATAATGACACCACATAGGCTGATACAATGATAAGGATACCATAAGAATGATAGCAATGTTACCATATTAACTATAATGATACCACTATCTTCCAAAAAGGATGTGGGATTTAACCTCTCTATCCTGATTTGCAGCCTCCCTTTCCTACAAGACATCTCAAAACCACAGAGAACGCATGTCAGCAGGAGAAGCAGCTCTGACTGACCGAGGAAGGTACGTGCTTGCTTTATAATAGTGAAACTTTCTCCATTTGTTTGCGTAGGGTGAACGTGAGGGACACCCTCTATTCATAAAACCTGCTGGATTTCATTAGTGCAACACCAGATATATTTAAGAAAAAAAAACATTTGAGGGATATTTCAACACAGTGTATTAATTTTGCACTTTGTCATTGCAATTTATTTGCAAATAAGCACCGCTGTACTAAGCGCAGTAAGCATGTACAAGTTCAGTACATGTTCAGTGATGAATTGTCAAGCTCATTTATGTAATTTAGTAACACTCCCCATTCATCTTATCAGTAACTTTCACGTTTTAAAAAAATGACAAACATAAAGGTTCATTGATTTTTCACTGTTTTGCTGCAAGAATGCTTTCTGTATTTCCCCTCAGACAGGAAAATATGATAAATATGATGGTCAGTTACAATGTCGTTTAAAGTCACTTTCTGGGGAATTTCCCTTTCAGATCTCTCAGGCTAGCAGACTGCACTGAAATGGATGTTGTTCACATGATTTAGTAACGTATTTGATTTTCTAAGTGAAAAAAAAGGAACAAAACACAAACTTAAAGGCTGTGCAATCAAGTGTTTAACTGGTGTAAAGTGAGAACAACATCAAACCCGCTCACTACCAGCAAAGGCACAAACCCCAGCGGACTGCATGCTCAGTTGACAGCCGATTTCCTCATCCCTTGGAGCAGGCACAGTTTTGCCAGTGAAACTGCTTGTTCTCTAGCTGTACCTGACAACTGGAACAGGGCTGCCCCCAAAGAAAGCTCGTGAACTGGTCCCCACACCCATCCATGTGCTGAGACAGCACCAGAGCACCACAATGAAGCATGTGCAATGTAACTCAGATGTGTAAATAAGTGGGTTTTACTGGATACCTAGGGCAGCCACACCCCCAATTTCTCACCGCTCATTGCAGTATATTTGCTTCTGTTGTTATGGGACGTGTTGTGGTTTGGTTGCATACGCCAGATAAAACACCTAACTAGCTCTTCCACGGACCTCACCTAGCTCTTCTTCAACTTTCCACAGCAGGAAAGTTGCCTTCCCTAAGATGAACTTCAGGGCTAGGGTTAGAATCAGAATTAAGATTCAAGACAATGATGATAAAGCCTGTGGCTATAGCCTGATTAATGTTAGGACAAGCAAGGGACTCAGATCCTTGCTATGTAGGCAGGGCTGTGGGTTTAGCTTAGGGTCTATGGAGTATCTAGCTAAACCTCTCTCTTTCTGTCAGTGTGAGAAGATATGATATCAAAAAGGGAGAATGGCTTAACACATTAGTTCTGGGGTATGCAGGGTGACTAATGAATCCTAATGCACTTAAAACAGTGTTACAGACAAGGCAGAAGGGGCTGGATCTTTGCTAGAGGTTTTGTCTTCATCTAGTGTTGGTTTGCCAAAAAATGGCGACTTATTACTGCTGCCTTTTCCTTCTGCAGTCGAAGTAGCAGAATTGTGCACAATGGATATACAGACTCTAAATCTGATGTAGGGTGTCTACATCATGTTTCATGATAGAAGTTCTGTTGTCTTCACGATGTGGTAAGCTGGGCACTCAGAACCGTCACACAAAAATAGCGCTATTAAGGTGTGGGTCAAGCTCTTGTATAGTTAGGAAGTGCTGGAATTACAAGTAGCTATTGCAAACCTGATTTGGTGAGTACCAGTACTGCAATAGATTTTAGCCAAATGATCATGGCTGGACTTGCAGACCTTAAGAGTATTTTCCAACCTAAATTATTCTATGATACCATCACCATATTATGTTTCCCTCACACGACCCCTAACGCAAATACAGATGTAAATCCTCTACATTGTTAAGGGGGCTTAATGTATGTGGTGCCTCATCACATTCTTACAACTTTGCAAGCCTTCGCATACGATACTTGGCAATGCTGGCTCTGCTAAATACTGTTGCTGAGATTTCTTACATAGCTCTAGTACAGGCCTCCGAAGCAGTGCTATGGGCCAAATCCTGCCATTCTCAACTTTATACTAATGAGTGTTTTTAGCAGTTCAAGACAGACCAAGCACTGCATTTCACCTATGCAAATCAGCACAATTAGCCCCATTCATTTTAGTTCAAGTCAAAAAAGTTTTCACCTGAGGTTTTCTGAGCTGAATTCCGATTCCAGGAAACGAAGGAACTGGTCTCGTCCTACTGGGTCCTTCAGCACCTCATCCATGGAGAAACCCCATCTTTTCACACGCTGCTGACTAGGTTCTTTGCTGTTTGGAGAGAGAAGGGAAAAAAACCAGATGGAATGTGCATTTCTGCCTGCTGTCTGAGCAGCTGCTGCTGTTCCTGCTAAGCAGCAAAGGGAGGAAGATTATCAGACAGGGATATGGTGTTTCTTTACTCAAGATTTTTGCAGAACTACAGGCTAGAAAATAACATACAATAAGAAGTTATAAAGACCAGGGTCATCATTAAACCAACTGTGCTGTCTGGGTGCTACATACATGACAAAATGAGAGAGTGAATGATATGATTTTCAGAATAATTTCTGGCAGGTTTCATGTAAAGAACAGCATACCATATTTGAATGATTATGCATTATACACTTCTTATGTATCTCCTCAAATGTACCTTGGGAATTTCTTACATGTCAAGGCATAAATTTGCCAGCAGTGTTCCCTGGGCTGCTAGTGAGCTCCAGAGCATCTCCTTGTGTCTCACACAGTGCTGGCTGGTCACTTGGAACTGGCTTCAGATTTTCAGCTCCACATTTGCATTAAAAAAGCATTTTCACTAAGAAGCAGTGCAGACGAGTTTTCTAAAAATGATTACTGGTTTATGGTCTTTCCTTTTTCAGTGCCTCTGATTTTTGGATGCCTAAGTCTTGGAAGACTGAAAAGCATCTCCCTCCTCCCCTCCACGATAATCAGACTCTTATTTTGTGTCTCAGCTGGGACACTGCGATGCAGAGGCACCCAAAATCACTAACGACTTTTCTCCTAAATTATTTCTTAATACAATCCCACTTACATAAGCTGTTGTTTGAATTGCCAGACATGTTGCGGAGATGCCTATGGGGAGAGGCAGGGCCTGGGAATCACAATGGGGATCCTACAAGACAGTCCGCATCAGAGCGTAATCTGGGCTCACAAAGTGTTTGAAAGCTTCTGGTGTGATGGCGTCATACTATGAGACAACCATTAAAATACAGCTCAGCTGCTCACATTTGTGACAGCAGAGCCATTGTTAACAGTACATATCTATTAAACTACATGTCTCGTCATGTCTGCAGTGATTCTTAATCCCGGAGCCCTAGGGGACAGTGGCGATCTGTGCTGAAGACAAATAAGCCAAAGGGGTAAATAAAATGCCCATTCTGATTTCCTCCTTGTGTAAAGAGTAAGTGAAATTGATGGGCATGTCCTCACTCGGAGCGCAGAGCAGTTGGGATGGCTCCTCCTGTGCTCGCTGCCCAGGAACCAACAGCGCTGCGGACGAGGGAGCAGATGCCAGCCTACCTGTTCAGTGAGCCAGCCCGGACACGGGGATGGGAAAGTCGTGTTTGTGCAGAGCTACCCATGAGCTAAGATTGAGGAACGGCCTGCTGAATCCAGAGGTCTGTAGCTGTTCTTCTTGCTGCTGCGTGTTCTAGCATGAACAAAAAGGCCCAAGTGCTGCCTAGAATTGAAGGCTTTCTGTGGCGTTTCCCGAGTGTCAGGCAGGATGAACTGCAGCGACACAGGGCTGTCCATACTCAGCAGCCGGCCTTACCGTTGGGAGTGAGAGGCTCTTTGTTTTCCTGAGCGAGGGCTCTGCTCTCCTAACTGAGGAAACAACTTTGCAGGCAAAACAAGGGCTACTACAGCTCTTGGGGATTGTTTAATTATTCATGCAAGTTACAACTAGATGCAGATGCAGTGAGTTCTCTTACAATAGAGAATAAAATGGAAATACAGAGCTGTTTGTTCTTCCATCTCCCAACAATACAACTTCCTCTTTTTCATCAGCACGAGAATCACCTTCCATAACTGAAATCACAGCAGAAGCCAAGAATTTATTTTAAATTCCTACAAAGGCCGTGACATCATGTTAATTGTATTCTTCAGGGACGCAGACATCTTTTCTGGGATTTGCAGCTACCTCAACAGATGCAGAAATTATGGATGCCTAGATTACCTTCTGGGTGAGGGTTCCTCCACAGAAGTATTTTGCATGGCCTCCATCTGTTTCTAGCCCTGCTAGGAGGATGGAGAAAACCAGAGAAACTGACTAAAAAAAGGAAATCCAAAAATTTGAAAGTATGTGAAGAGGGGTGGAAATTAGGGAACTAACGGATTTTTGTGACTACCAGAGAAGCAGGTGCAAACATCTGTTACATCCCAGACCACATGGGTTTTAAAGAGGGAAATAACTTTCCCTTTTCCTGGAACACTGATTCATTGTGAATTGGCTTTCTTCGGCTGGCAGCATCTTAAACGTTACATTATTATTCAAAACCAGACAGGATTAGATTTGGCATTCTCTTTCAAAGATTTGCTAAAGTGAACTCCCAGTTCAGATTTGGTGCTGAACACCAGGAGAAGCTGCTGAGCACTTGCTGTAGTTGGCCACAGCACGTGAGTGAGTAGCAAAGATGAATACATGGCATGGTGATCACATTCAAACCTGCTGTGAGAGCTGCTAGGTGTAGAGGCAGGCAGGACAATTCAAACCTGCGAGGGCTGTGGATAGTGTGTGACAGGAAGAGATTCAGACACTGGCCAAATTGCCCTTGCACCACCATTACGTAGGCAAAAGATGATCTAAATTGAAGTGCTGTGCTTGGTATTTTGGAGAAGCTCTCTGAGATGCAAGGCATGGGAAGCCCTCCTTTTTACCCGTTACACACCATAATGGAGACAAGCCATCTTGTTCTCTCACTTTGTCAATTTGTTATAATTGTGACCTGCCAAGTCTCACACAGAGCGCGCTGCACTCCTCTCGGCTCCTGTGCCAAATCCACGTCTGCACAGCAGGAACGGCCACTGCCCTATGATCCATCCTATTCTGCCAGTGCCATCTTCCATGGGATCCTGGGACACGAGTATGGCTGGAGCACTGCAGCTCGGGAGCAGGCTCTCAAAGGCCAAAGGAGACATGCTGGAACAAGTATCTCATTGCAGTATCCTGTATCTGTGGACTCTTAGACCTGAGTCTGTGCATGTCCTTGACAGGCATAAGAATATCGTTACCTGACTTCCAGAGTACCACACATCAAGTCATATGGAAGTGGATGGGCTGCATAATTCACAGAAGTCATGATAAAGCATAAGCTCCTGTTTAAATTTTAGCTATGTACTTGTACCTTGTAAAGTTATAGATGTCCCGCTTCCTAGCCAAACAGGGCAGTGGGAAGACCATAGAAACCCAATGTCAAGACAACTCCAACATTACGTAAAGCTACCAATTCTTACCTCATTTCGATGTCCCACAATGCCACATCATCACTTATCCAGGGATTGGAAGGCTCGGCAGGAGTTATAAAGGGGTCATATTCCACATACTGCTCCGTGTAGGCTATTAAACTGACAGGTATAAGGAGGAAAAAAAAAAGAATCAGGGCCAGGATGCTCAGTCCCATGCCAGAGGTACAGTCTTTCTTTTTCCTTCCTTTTTTTTTTTTTTGTGTGTCTCTCTCTTTATTTTTAAGTGCATTTGTCAGTTCCTCAGCCACCACAGGAGGCCATTTTTGCAGGGATCGTGCACACAAGGATGTCTCTGCAAACACCCACCAGCTCATTGCAGTATTCTCCACAAGCTCATCTGCTGTCAAGATGCTCACACAAAAAGCCCGATGAGGCAACAACTGGATTGCTGTGGTTGGACTTCCCCCAGAGAGCCAGGGGATCCCTGTGAAGCGCATGCCCTCCTCCTGATTTGTTGCACGTTGGTATTGCCTCTCGCCCCTTTGGTTTTCGCAGACTTTTGCACCCGCTTAACTCTATTCATTAGGAGTAACTCATCTAAATAGGGTCATGTGCTGGAGCTAAGAATATACCTAAATCTTTGGAGGATCACAGTCCTGAGCATCAAAGCTTCAGGCTATAGATAATTTTTTTTGTTATGCTGGTGTACCATATAGTCTAACGGCACTATTGTAAAATACTTCAACCATAGTTTATAATAATTAACTTAGAATGTGGTAAATGATACGCATGTTGGAAAAACACCTGGCCTTTATACTGGTTTGTTTCATGACGAGTCAGAGAAGACATACAGTCTCTAATCCTCACCAGAATGAGATTCAAAGAGCTTGCTGGGAAAAGGACTGTGTCTGCTTGCATAACTGATTCAGGAATTCCACTGGGGTTGGGGCTAGAGGCGCATTTTTACAAAAGAAAGATAGCATACATGAAGCAAATCAAAAGAAATTTCTCCTCAGCTGTATTGGAAATACTCTAAGGCACTTCATAATTTTTTTGCCTAGGTCTGCCAACTAATTAACTATGTTAATTGAGCCTCATCATACTGAACAACTAATCTGCTTGCACTGTGATTGTCCATGCTAAACTTTACCTCTGGTCTTCCACACCTCAAAAAGGCAGGAGAATGAAAAGACCCTGTGAAACAAAGGGTCACAAAAGGCAGAAAATTTCCCTGACCTGCTCTACGGTAATTATTTCTTTTTGTTTGTCCTAGCTCTTATCATGAGGCATTAAAATCACACACTTTTGTAACCACAGCAGGTTCCCATTGCCCCTCAGGGCACTCGGGGCTGTCTCATCTCATTTCATTAATTACATTTCATGACTGCTGTGGGTCAAGGGTTGGAGGAGGGAGCAGCGTCCAATTTCAGAGAGCAGCAGCAATCCCAGAGACATCAATGAGAGAGAGGGTTGGTTAAAAGAACCCAACAAAGAGGATCAATCACGAGATATCTGCTGTGAAACTTGAATTGCTCCTAATAAAATAATAAGAAGGCATCAGAGACATGAGTAAAAGTACTAGAAGAAAAGGGGAAAAAATAAACTAAATGAAACAAGGGGGAATTGCTAAACGCATTTTGCTGATTCAGTATAATGACAGCCATGGAATTGTTCCCTTACTGTCTAAAGGAGGCTACAGGCAGGAGACTCCTAAGGGACAGCATTTCTGCCAAAATGTGAAACTGGGCTTTCGACCCTTCAGCTGATGCAACTGAATTCTGGTAGAAGAGGTGGTGGGAAGACCTCACTGAAGGGTGCAGAGTTTGCCTTGATAGCCCATCAGTTTTGCAACCCAGGGGCCCTGTTGAGCCTTCACAAAAACTTTGGGAAGCTGAGTGAATAACACAGATTTGTGACACATTTTCATCTAGGGAGCCAAAATTGCTTCTGCTAGGAAGACGCTCAGGTTTGCCCCAGCCATTTCTGTGATGCCACATGTACTGGGATTGCACCAACACTACATGATGCAGTCAGGGAAAACAGTCGGTAGAATATATTGATAGCTTTGCTCAATAGTTCTCAAATCTCATTGCCAAATCCTAAACCTGACAGTGTGCAGGTCCCGAGTAGGGAGAAAGGATGAGGAGAGAGGAGGAGAAAATCATTTCCAAGCTGCCTGGAGCAGCTGAAGGATGCCTTCTCCCATTGTTGGTGCAGATCTACTCCAGGAAGGGGAAGGAGTATCATGAAACAAATCGGTGGGCATTTAATTCATGGGCGCTGGGAATAATCTTTTGAGAGCCTTTCCATTCCTCCCTCTGCTGGATGGGGGCTATCCCATAGAATACCATGCAATGGCAGGTGGTGCCAGTGTCAGGCTAGGCTGTTGAAAAGAGCGTGCCGAGAAGTTGTCTCCAGCACCCTGATCTGCCACACTGATTAGTGATTCACTTAAACTAGGCCCAAAAAAAGGGTCCAGTCTGAAAAGTGACTTGCTAATACCAGCACCTCCTTATGCAGCAGATTTGCTCCTGGCATGCACATCCAGCATTTTACATCGGGCTTTCAGGCTACACAGGTTTTTATTTCAGGCAATCATTCAACTCAGGTCATCCATATTCATTCCTCCTCACCAACCCTGCCAAGCCACTGGACTCATCAGTCCCTTTACTTGCCTCCCACCTGCTCTGTTACCCTCCACATCCAACCTCCATTCCCCACCACTCTCTGCACCCAGCCCTCAGACCCTCCAGCAACGCTGCCACGCAAGGTCACCACGTAACCAAACACTTCTTCACAAGATATAATATCACAACCGTGATTTTCGTTCTTTATAATTTCAAAATTAAACTTTCCAATCAGGAGTAAAGAACTTTTTGATTGTCCTCATTTTATTTATTTTTTTCTTGATTAGCAATTTGCACAGGTTTTGATAGCAACATTTTCTTATCCAATTTAGGACCAATAAAAAAAGCCCAAAGCCCTTTAAATCCAGGAAAATTTTTTGTCCAGTTTCACTGAAAACCAATAATTTTTTTTTTTTTTTGGCACTGCCAATATCCGTTTATAATGTCAGTAGCTCCTTATGAATTTGAACAACAGGTGTGTTATATGGACAGGATTTGATGTTCACAAGTGAATGAGTTTTACTGAAACCATTTAATGAATAAATACCTACCTAGAAAAAAATTCAACCAAAACCAATCTGCTTGCTTGTAAATTACGAGCCTGGAAATTATTACTGTCACAGTATACTACAGTCATCGTAAGTAAATTCAGTACAAAATGACTTTTTTTTTTGGTAAAGCACAAACGTGTTTTCTTAATAAAAAAGAATCAGAAAGCACAAAACATAAATATCAATGTACTAATTTCAATCGTACAATATAGTGTATGCAGGATTTCAGGGAGCCTCTGCATATTTTTTTTTTTAATTGGATAAATTTTCATTTTAATTGTAAAACTTTATAAGCCAATAGGAACTTACTTTGTGGCTCTCGCCATTTAATTTGCCTAATTTAGCACACACATGCTAATTACAGGTGCAGGCAATGCAAAGCACATTTCATAGGGTAATCTCTCTTTAATTTGCTGAAATAAAAGTTCCTCTGTTATTTCTGTACAAGGCACCAGTCCTTATCGTGTCCCTCATATTCAATACAGTTTTGCTCTAGAAGTGATGTTATGAAGACAACGCTGATCCCTACATTTCCTGCATCGATTCCTCTGGAAACGTGCGTAACTTACAAGTACCTAAATAAAGGAGCTGTCATTCCCAATTAAATTTGAGCCTTTTCTTTACCTGCTCACATTATCCTACCACAATTAAATATTCTACAAGTCAAATTCTGCCTTGATTTGCCTCTATGAGAAACCCAACTCTTAAAACATTACCTTGAGTAGTCCAAGTACAACCACAGCACTTCCCAGAGAATTTAATATATATAATTGGGAGCAGAAATTGGCCCTGAGACCCCAATATAAACAGAGTCATAAGCATGACGTGCAACAAGATGCAAATGCAGCTCCTTCCCCAGAGCTGTGCCAGGATAACAAGAGATGAGCACTGAGAGTTCACCAACAAAAGATAAAAGGGTATTTTCAAACTGAAACAGGAATGACTTTTCCGTAAATAAACTTGGGTGGGACATAAAAGTACTGCAAGGGTTCTTTCTTTTGCGAATAGTATTTCGTTTGCTCTTACAGTACGACAGCATCGTCATTTTTCACCTACTTTTTCTCAGTGGCTACAAATGAGTGAGTGAGGCCACAAATGTTGGTGGTCAGCAGACAGGCAGCATGGCCGGTCTAGGAGGGGGAAGGATTGATGCACAGAAAGGGGCCCAGCCTTTCTGTGTTCCTGACCGCTCTCTGTTTCTGGAGATGAGGAAAGAATGGGAAACCATGCAAATGGCGACACTCACCTTTCTGCTACTTTGGACATCTTTAAACAGTGTCTCTCTATCTGCACGTTCAGGAAAGTTATCTGAGGAGAGAGATGACAAGGCCATTAACAATCCAGGAGCTCTACAGCATGCATTGATCATATCCCAACACACTATTGATTTCTCTTTCCAAACAGCTTGAAAGTAATTCAGAAGGAAATGAGACCCTTCCCTAGGTATCAGAACCAGCTTCTTAACTGCTTCCAAAAGGAGTCTCCACTTCCTATGGCAAAGTCCCAGGGGAAGCTTCAGAAGACATAATTAAAAATAGGAGAGGCACATATTTGGGGCTGAGGTTCCTAGACTGTTCAGGGTGCAATATGATCCCCTTTTTACACCACACTCCTCTCTTCCACTTCTCCAGCTGACCAGCATCACAAGACCAACAACGGTTTTACAGCACATTTCCACTCTGCTGTGAACTAGTTCTTCCCAGTAATCTGCAACCTATGTTACCTATGATGGAAAAAGCTCAAGAAATTCAGTGTTCAGGTTTACTTCAGAAGACCACCCTAGAACTGGCTGCCTAAGAAACATGTTTGAAGCTGCCTTTACTAAAACACCTACCTCGTAATCCCTACTGGTACTTCAGTGAATGCTGCTTGGTGCAGGAAAGTAATTTCAAGGGAGAGCTCCCTGTGCCAGGGCAAGGATATTCAAGCTGGCTGGCCATTGCTTGGAGTATTGTGCAAATTACTTTTTCCCAGTTCCCTAAAAGTTCTAACTATACAGTCTAATAGTTATGCACAGAACGATGCCTTTCCTCACCGCTCATCCCCTGCCTGTGCCCCAGTATGCTGGCTTCTTCCCTAGCTTTTGTCACTGCCCACTTTTTAGACATCCTCAGTGAACTGGAAATTAATCTGTCTGCTCGCCCACAGACAGAATAATACTAGATTCAAAGGTCAGTACTACACATAATACATACGATCATACAACTGCACTGCTCAATAAATGTGTGTATATACACACACATATCTTTAAATACTCACTACTTTACATGAAGTATGTGAGGATCAAGGACAGGTAAAGCATACAGTTGGTTTTGCTGATATCTCATTAACTTTATATGCTCTTTTCTTTAGCATCTAACAGTTCTTAGAAGAGCTGCCATGTATCCACCTACTTACTTGTTTCCGGAAATCCTCTTTTGTAGTTTTGCGTACAGGTTGGGAGGGCATGTGTACAGGGCTTTGGGGCTGAGACTCCTCTGTAACCCCATATACTGACTGAGGAACCAATAAACAAACAGAAGAGATTAAGACTTTTTCTCTGTTACGCGATGAGGAAACGTGCAGTATGCAAAGCAGTAAGGTAACGAGCCAGCAATTTCCTACTGTTTATATCCACACAGGTCAATAATCATTCAGCCCGGAGCAAAATTTACAGATCAGACTGTGCTTGCAGACGCTTGCACTTGGAAGGTCTGCAGGCATGTAAGAAAAGGGTTTATTTTAAATGCTAAAAAGGGTTTATCTTAGATGTTTAAATGCAGCTGATAATTTTCAAGAGCTCTGAAGGCTGTGTGCAAACACTTGCAGGATGAACACTGGGAGTGGTCGTTGTGGTGAACCGAGCAGAGAAAGAAAACACTAGAACCCAACCCTGTACCATTTTCTTTCACTTGGTTTAAGTTCTTGTTGTAAAAGTACACACTGAAGAAAGAGCTTAAACAGGTGTCAGTGGGTCAAGTTCACATGAACTTTTCTAAACAAAACCCAGCAACCTGTAACCATTCATATTTAGGACAGACTTGCACTGAAAGTAGCATCAACTACCCTTCCATCTTTTGCTTTTTATTTTACATTCTTAAACATTAGTAAGAGACATGTGAACAGCTCTGCTGCAAATTAACTACCAATGGAAGTTCAGGAGTCTGGTGTCACCTCCAAAACAGGTAACAAGTGACAGGACAAGAGGAAATGGCCTCAAGTTGCACCAGGGGAGGTTTAGATTGCATATTGGGAAAAATTTCTTCACTGAAAGGATTATCAAGCACTGGAAGAGACTGACCAGGGAAGTGGTTGAGTCATCATCCTTAAAGGTGTTTAAAAGACATGTAGATGTGGTGCTTAGGGACATGTTTTAGTGGTGGACTTGGCAGTATTAGGTTAACCTGTTGGACTGATGATCTTTAGGGTCTTTTGCAATCTAAATGGTTCTTTGATTCTATAGACACAGAAGAGCCGAAACTCCTGGAAGCCAAGGACACCCAAGATGCTAATGATCATGGATCCAGCTATTGAAATTATTATGGCAGGTAAATAGCTACAAAAAAATGTGTGCCCAAATAATTTCTGAAAATGGGTCCTAGGCACTTTGCCAGCTGGTTTTAATTTTATGGGAGTGCAGAGCCAGCAGATATCTGAGAAACAGAGCTTCTTCATGCCCTTCTCAGCTCCACCCATCACCCAGTCTGCACTGCTCTGCTCGTAAAACAGGAATAGTAAATTCAACAATTAGAAGAAAAAGGAAGTGATATTTGCAAATATTTTTTTTGGTACCTTTTGGGTGAGTCTGATGTACTGTAGGTGTCAAGTGCGATTTGCATTAAAAACAACAAAACCCACCCAAATCCCAACCCAAAACCAGAAACTGAAACGGACCTTTTTCACCTTCTGAGGGTTTTTCATACGACGACACTTTCTAATGTCCATTTCTGTGGTGTTCACACAGCCCGGCTGAAAAGAGATGGTAACTGTATTACTCCTCTGTTTACAATCCACAAGCTACCTTACCTTTCTAAAATATACAATTAGATCTTTTCCAAAATTCTTTCCTGAAGTTTGTGCCCCATAAATTACTCTCGCTAAACAAGAGGCTGCATATACCCAAACTTGGCATCTCAGCAACTAATCCATTTACTCATAACTTTGGCACCAAAAGGAAATATCTCAGCTAAGAGGGGAGCTTTTTTCTAGGAAGTCTGAGCCAAACTAGGTAAGCTGCTTTTCTTTCGTACACACGATATATAATCTTCAAAACTTCACATTTGTCATGTATTTCCAAATCAATAATTCCATGCACGCACAAGCCTAGAATGTCTAAAACAATCTTGTAGACACTTAGCATGTTTTGAACCGCGAGGAAAATCCACGTGGTGACTTTAAAGGCAAAGCCTTTATGCAATACATGGCACAGTGTTTACTAGTAGTAAGCCTTTTCTGTCACAACCTGGAAAGTCTCATGATTCAAAAAGAGCGTTACCACAGGCCTGTGCACATCCCAGAATGCTCTTTCTTGACTGTCCAAAATCTTTCTTTCTGTTTTATCCTTTTTTCTGTCAATTCTGGAAAAAAAAAAAAAGCATGAATATATGAGTCAAGGTACAAGTAATGCTTTCTTCTTTGTTACAGCTCCTAGCTAGGGTTTTTAACCCCACGATAAAAGAAAAAAAATCAGAAAAATCAGAAATCCACTTTTTTTGTACAGCAATGTCACACTCCTGCTTGCCAGGCCATGTGCCATGAACAAAACAACGCCCATGTTTACTCCAATATGTGTCAAAGAGATTTTTCTGTTAAGGTGGAAAATTTACTTTAACATCTGTTTCTTTATCTGGCGAGGAAAACAACCTTTTCCAATACTCTGTTCCCAGACCCTGATTTGGCAGGCTGGGGAAATCCCTCTTTAGCTTTGTCAGAAGACCTACCAGGACCTCTTTAATCCAGGTGAAGCTCTCGGCCAGTGCTGGACACAGGTCCACATCGGGAGGCCCCACTGCATGCGGTGCCCCAACAGCACCGCTGGCATGACCACGGATTGCCAAGGGACAGCTATCCCAGACACTGCCACACCAGTGGGGATTTCTGACCATCAGGTCCACCCCCTTCTGTTTTTTCTTTTGGATGGGCAGTGATCCTCGGCTAAATCTGTGCTAGAAAAGGGACTGGGAAACAGGGGACTGAAACTGAAGTTTCTGAACACGCCTCCCCACAACAAGCCTGCCTCCCCCCACAGTTCAGTATTACTCTCTGAATATCCTCCCTGCAAGTCTGAGACGAGAAACCAGCTCTGTCCCCGCAGCCGCCAGATTGCGGTCACTGTACTGTGCTCTGGAGCCAACGCAGACACCCAGCCCAAAACTTCTCTTTCTGAGTGAGCCCTTTGTGCCCAGCCAAAGGAGAAGGCGAAGTCTTCGGCTAAGCTTAAATCACACACGAACTGGACGGACTCTTTAGAGGCTTCATGAATTGTCTTCATGGGTGCTTTGTGCTGAACTGAGGTTCATATCCCCAAACTTACTGATAACTCAGTATTTCACATTTTTAACCATGAAGACACAACACTCTGTGGCTGCAGTTTTTGAGCAGTGTAGTTACAGCAACGGATATCCTGCGTGCAAATGAAGACATGGAAGGCAGAGCAGAACATGATAAGCAGGAAGAATGCTTTCAGGTATTTTGGTGTTGGTTGTTGGTTTTTCTTCCCCCCCACCCCCCCGCCTTTTTACTTAATTCAGGTCTGTGAATTCTGGCAATGCCATTCAGAAACCTGAAGACTGAACCATCACATGAACTAGAAATCAAGAAGCTGAAACTAGCCCAGGAAAAAAGCAGACAGTGGCCAGCCCATGCCTACATCTCAAAGAAAACTGAACAGAAAAAGATGAATAAGCAACAGCGGTTGCGTCAAGAATCTAATGTTCCCATTTCTTTCTTAGGTAATAATTTTTTGCTGTGGACCAAATGCAGAATTTTGTTTTGACTCAGTTTTTTCTTTTATAAACTTGGCAATAAGACTTTAAGCAACTGAAATTACAATTGCTATCTTAACTTCTAATTTCATCTTTCAAACAGAAGACTGGTATTCTGGTTGGAAAAAAAATCCCTTCATTACCTTGTAAATTAAAGGATAATTACCATTTACTTAAATAGTGCATAATTACAATGTTATTAAGCAAAGAATTAATCAAAATTCCAAAGAGTTAATCAAAGAGAGAGACAGATACCTCAGCCACACCCTTAAGAAATGATGCTCCTTAACTTTTTAGCATCTAATGCTGAAGCTGCAAATTCCTCCTAGTAGTACAGAGTGTCAATACCAGTGTTCTCTAGTCTACACTAGGCTACAAACTCTGGACCACACCCATTTTGTAGCAATAATGAACCCGCGCTCAAAATACTGAGAGGCTTCAAACTGTTTTCACAAGGGAAGATGAGAAAAAAATGTGGATTTCAATTATGAGCAGAGGATAGGAAAAACCCAAATACTAAACCTGAGTTAAGTTTCATGTAAGCAGTACTCAATCCTCCACAGTAATTTAGTAGCACAAGCTGGACTGCAGTGAGTAGAGGTACAATGGAGTCAACTGGGGATTGGCATAAATGAGAAAACCAAATCCAGTCTGCTTGTAAATACCACCCTTACAATCAACTTTTAAGTGCCAGTGTTTTTAAACTCAGAAATACTTTACAAGCACAGAGTAACACAGACAAACGAAAAAGGTCTGTTCTTTTCATTAATACAAACCAAAAATACTGCACAGGAGTAGAAGCAGAATGGGCACGTGAATTGTCCAAGCTCCCATGGTGAATCCAGGCTCAGGAGCTCCTGAGCAACATTTCCAAGTAAAGATAATTAAATCCATCTTTCAGATTCTGGCACAAACCTTTAGAACTGGATCTCTATTGTTTCTAGTCTGCTGGTGATTTAAAAAAAAAAAAAAAAGGTGTTCACCAACACTTTGTGAGCTTAGTCGCAGTAAAGACTTTGACAGAGAAGTTTTATCTTGGCAGAATCCCCTTCCCTTCACAGCTCTGAATACTGGTGCAGTTCAGTGCTCCAGGATTACTCACTTCACTTGGGCCTCAGCTTGCATGAAGATGAATTCCCACTTTCTTGCAAATGCTCTCTGAAGTCTTGCTAAGTTTTCCTGACAAAAGACGAAAATAGTAAGAACAATTAATCCCTGTAATTATAAGAACTGCTGAAGAGCACAGTTAGCATCGCAGGCGTTCATGTTATTCCTTTTTTTTTTAAGCTGGAAAACTCAAGACACGGAAGTCAGTGGTTGTTTCAGGTGAACTATCTCGCAGGCAAAGCAAGGTTGTAACACATCCTTTCGGGTGGCAGCCAAGAGGGCCCTGTCAGGGAGAAGTAATGGAGTGTGATGAAGGCAGCCAGAGTTCTGCTATGAAAATAATGATTGACTTGTTCCCAAAAGATAACACTGGGAAGCTTTGTGAAGCTGATGACTTTCATTTCTGATAGCAGATGGCTGCCACCTGCATGTTTCCCTCTCATCCCCACTTTCCCTTCCTCCCCCTACTGCTCTCTACTGCTAAGGTGCAAATCCTGAGCATCCCTTGCTTCGCTCAGTCCTGGTCACCACTGAGAGCATTACACAGCTGCACAGCTCTGAAGGCTGAGGATTACCAGGATGATTCATAAAAGGAAATGGCTTGTTTGTCTGAACAATGAACATGGCTAACTGCACAGACTGGGTCCAGATGCAGCCTTGTTCTACATCTGAAGTCAGGGTTCTGGTCCAGACCCATTACAGAGAGTGTTGTGATCTGAACATTGGGAGGTGGAGGTGACTTCATCACAGCGCAAGGTCAAACTCAGGACATGGCCAGAATTTCGGGCTCAAACAGCACCCCGCAGTCACATATCCACACTCAACCTGATAAGGAGGCCTACGAGACCATTAATCTGACACTCTTCCTCATTACAGCTGGTTCAACTGTTTCAAATTTTCATTGAAAATGAACACCATTAGTTCTACTGCTGTTCTTTTTATACCTATTCCCTTTATTTCAAGGAAGTGCTTAAGTGCTTGCATTTCAGTGATAGAAAAAAAACCCCTTCCTATTATTTACTTTAAACTCTTGTGTAACACAAGGCATAAAACTTGGCCCTGTTACCACCAAGTCCATGTAAGAGTTTCAGTCCATATACACAGAGGAAAACAGTTAAGCAAATGATTTTTTTTTTAACCGTGATGATTTCCTTAACTGTGGCTACAAGGAAGAACTACTTGTAATTATCTGCAAAACTAATTTTTGTGTGTTTTGGGTGTGGTGGTTTTTTTTTTTTTAATTTTGTTTTAAATTATGTTCACATGTGCCCTCTGGAGTAAATATGCTGAAGCCAATGAAACATCATCAATTGAAGCAACGTACGAATCATGCTTATATGTGGCCAACTATAAACAAAATTGAATGCAATTATGCAAGCTTAATCATATCATCAGGACCCCTGCTCTACCAGTATAAATGAGCAGGGGGGTGGGCTGTCTATGAATCCTGCAAGCAGAACTTAAAAATGAAAAGATGTTAACTGAGATGCTTTGTAGACGTTCTTCTTAGGAAACTCCAGGTCAGCGCTGATGGCTACGGAGAAGCAGTCTCATGCTACATCTCCAAAAATGTGTACTAAGCATACACGACTCCTTCCCACTTCTATAAGCCTGTTTCTCTCACTTGTGCTTAGCTTACTTCTCCACTGCTGGTCTGCTTCAGCTCCCATAATGACTAGGAAGAGTTGGTGCCATTCTTATCTGACTGTCTCTAATTAAGAGAGCAAAGTTTGAATGCAGAAGCAATATCTAATTGTGCAATGCAATATTCACAAGAAAAATGAGAGACTGCCAAGATCTAATTATTTGCCATCACTGGAGCATTGCTACCCTCCGTAGACAACGATGTGCAAAAGTACTTAGCCATAGCCTCACTGCATGTGTGTGGGAGTATGAGCGCTGCTGAACAGCCTTTTGTTGCTTTAAGATAGATCTTTAGAGTACTTAGCATTAATTGGTTGGCTGTGAGCAATTTTAATGGTTTTAATAATGAAATCAACAATATGCAGAAGAGAAAACTCAGCAAAATGATGTGTAAGTGCATGCAGATTATTTTATTCCTTCTTTTATGCCTGTACTTCAAGATTAGAATGGGAACTCAGATGCATTTCCTGGGTGGACTGGATAAGTGGCAATTTTTGCATGCTATTCACTGAATGGACCAAATATATATATGACATGCACAAAAGACTCAAACTGCAAGAAGGTAAGGAAGAAAGAAAAACTCCATTCTTGGACCCTCCAAGATAGGCAATAAAAATGCTTTTGTCATCATTAAACATGAACACAGTAGTCCACTAGAACCAGCTTTGTAAACAAACCCTCCACTGAAAAACTCCACGTTTGAAATTCAGCTGTTACTCTGTTGAGCCAGTGAACAAACAAACAAACAAATCAATACAATAGAAAGGAAAGTTCAGCTGGTCAGCAGTGCGTTACACTGCTAGGACTCCAAGAAACTCACACCAGCCCCGCCCCACTGGCCTCCATCTTCCCATTCCCAAACCCTGCATAACCTGAAACCAAGGTTGTGGATATTTTTATGGATAATCATTTCCTAACAGAAAACAGGCCCTGAATAAGCTTGAGTAATAGTTTTTTATATGGTATATTAAAAACAGTCCAAGTCTAATATCTGAAAACTTTCATAACTAGATGGGTCATCAATAATTTAATTGCCCAATAATGCACCTCAAAATCCATCATTTCTGTGTGTTAATATCTGCTACATAAACCAGGACATGTTAACTGCCAACAGGAAACAAAGGTAAACTTCCGTGTAGTTTGCCCCAATCTTGTGGGGCTGGCTATCTAGAAGATGCTTTAATTGGAGATGTTGTAAAGCCAGGGACATTCCCCGATCATGCTCCTGATGTTCAAAGAATCAGACTGGTTTGGGTTGGAAGGGACCATAAAGACCATCTAGTTCCAACCCCCCTGCCATGGGCAGGGACACCTTCCACTAGACCAGGTTGCTCAAAGCCTCATCCAGCCTGGCCTTGAATACTGCCAGGGATGGGGCATCCACAGCTTCTCTGGGCAACCTGTTCCAGTGCCTCACCAACCTCCCCGTGAAGAATTTCTTCCCGATATCTAATCTAAATCTCCCCACTTCCAATTTAAACCCGTTACCCCTTGTCCTGTCACTACAGGCCCTTGTAAAACGTCCCCCCCAGCTTCCTTGTAGCCCCTTCAGGTACTGGAAGGGGCTATAAGGTCTCCCCGGAGTAATGTCTCCAGCTCAACCTTCGCAGAGTTTTGACAGCTAAGAAAATATGCAGTGAAGGCTGACCCCGAAGCACAAAATGGCAGCATTCAATCAGCAAGCAAAGCTCCTCCCCCACCCCCACCCCCCGCCTTAAACTCTAGCAGCAGTGTACCTACGGCTTCATAATCCGCCAGCTCCAGCCTTGCTTTGTTCTGCATGGTCCGTTTGCAGAGATAGATGGCTAAAGGAAGAAACAATTACAGACGATTATTAGTACTAGATCTTAGAAAAAAAAAAAAAAAAGAAAAAAAGAGCGGTCCATGCACTGTTCATTCTCATCAGAAAGCAACATGAACCAAGAAATGAGAGGGCTGAATACCCAGCTGACATTACCCACTAGTAATCTCAGAGGTCTTAAACATCTGGGACACCTCATTTAAGAGTGCCGAGAGTAGATGCCAGCACCTAACAAGACATCTGAGAAAGGCACAATTGCTTCTGGGGCTAGTAAAAGATTAAGCATTAGCAACCTGTTCCCCTCAGCACCTTGGAAATATGCCTACCAAAGTGAGCAGCCCTGCACTTTTCCCCTTTTGTTTTGTTGGGTTTTTTTTAAAAAAAAGAGAAATAATTCAGGATATTGAAAACAAAAATACAGGCCAGGTCTTAAAGGTAAGATTTCAGCATTTTTTCGTATGCTCCATCCACTTATTCTACACATTTCAAATGGTTAAGAAAAGCCTTCTCACTTTTCACCCTAGGCAGACACCACAGAAAGTGCTGCGATGTGGGATTCTGAGGGTCACGATACCAAACCAGTCCCAGGCTGCCTCTGGGAAAGCCTCAGCTGGACCTGCTAGCTTACCCCATTTCCATTACAGGCTGAAACACAAGGTCCCCAAAACACCCTGATTATAATACAGTCAGGTCCGAACTACGTAAGAGAGGACCACTGCTCTCATTTTGGGACGGACCTAGATGTGAATTTTACAGTTTCCTTGTGTTTCGCCCTCTCTTGTGCTGCAGGGCCAGGTACTTATTGTCCAGCAGCACACCAAACCAGAGCAGGGCAGAAGACAAAGCATCATCTACATAAAACTCTAATAAATATTTCTGAAAAAAAATCAGCTTTCCTTTGAAAACCATGAGGTTTTGGTTTGCTGATAAATACAATTTTCTGACATCTTCACAGACACTTTCCATTGGAAACCTATTTTTCTATTTAAAACATATTTAAAAAGCACTTACTCATGTAATTCTATTCTATGCTCTTCCTATAATTCTAACCTTCACATGATGAGCCTATATTATGCAAGGTAACCAGAGCTGATCAGTTCATGTATACTGATGTTTACACATATCAAAAGCGGTTTCACCTGTAAGCCATTTATCACACCAAATAAAATGAGAATCAGTCGTCTGTATGAAGTATTTCTTCATGAAGTATTTCTTCATGCTAGCCAGTGACCTGCTATTAGCAAGTTTGAATCATAGAATCATAGAAT